GGCAATCTCAGAAATTCACAATCACAAACACAAGGATTTATACTAGTTCCACCAATCCGGTGTACATCCAGTCCCCAAGCAAATCCCGCTTGAGAGTTTTTACTATGATTTTGAATAAACTTACAAAATCAAACTCAAACCTGACCAATTTGCAAATCCTTACAAATTACAACACCAATTGACAAACACCTTGCCAATATGAACACCAATCTCTAAACCAAGAGATCAACCCTCTCAAACCCGAGAGGAATCCTTTTTGAAGCAAGAACACAATTAATCTTATAAGCCTTGAATGTGTAGTGAAGTGCAGCAGTGCCTTAGGATTCTTTTAATCTCTGTAAATTGCCTAAACAATAGGTTTTTGAATAATGTTCAGAGGCAATTTCAGAAACTTCTCTTTTTCTCAAAATCTGAATATTTTTCACTTGAAAAATTGCACAAATATCAAAGCTTATGGGTATGTATATATCTGCAATTTTTCTGAACAAATAACCTATTTATAGCCCTTGAAAAGACAAATTTTTGAACTTTAAAAACGTTTAAAAACGGCTATAAACAGTCATAAATTCAAACTTTAAAATCTGAAAAAACTATATCTGTAGTCGACTACAATTGTCATTAGTCGACTACACTGAGTTCAAACACACTCTGTGTATTCAGAAAATTTCTCAGTAGTCGACTACAAAGCTCATTAGTCGACTACACTGTATTTTGACAGAAACTGATAAAATGAAATTTACGTTCAGTAGTCGACTATAATGTTGATTAGTCGACTACTTTTGACAGAAACTGATAAAATGAAATTTACGTTCAGTAGTCGACTATAATGTTGATTAGTCGACTATATTGTAAAACAACAGAAACTTATGTTTATGTCAAACACTTGAGTAGTCGACTATAATCCATTGTAGTCGACTATACTGTAAATTGACAGAAACATGTATTTGAGTTTTATACACGAGTAGTCGACTACTATTCTAATTAGTCGACTACTAAGAGTAAAAATTATGAAATAAAATATTTTATACTTAAGTTTTAACTATAATTCTAATGGTTAACATAGGGGATTTCTATAGTTAACCAACACACTAAGCCTGTGTTAGTGTGTTCTAATATTGTGTGTGTGTGCGTGTGTGTGATCAAGGCTTGTACAATAATTCTAAGTAAAGAAATTATAAAATACATTATCTCATCTGTTCTTCATTTTCTTCACTTCATAATGCCTTGAAAACATCTTGCACTTGTTCATATTCTGATATTGAAATCTGCATATAACAGTTAGTGCACACACTGTATAAATTGTTATCATCAAAATACTATCATGGAGATATGATATTCAACAAATAACAACATCGCCTTATCCTCATCTTCAATCATAACACCCATATTCGTCAAATCCACAAGAAGCTTCGTGTAGTGGTTCATGTGATCACTAATCGAGATTCCCTTCTTCAGTTGAAAATGATAAAGCCTCCTCTTCAAATGCAAGTGATTCTTAACACTTTTTGTCAAATACTTGCTCTCTAGAATCTTTCAAATCTTCTTTGTCGAAGTCTCATTGATCACATCATATTTTAGATCTTGAGTTAGACAATACCTAATCACACCACACGCCGTTCGATTGATCTTCTTCCAAACATTTTCTTTAATGTCATCCTGTTTCCCGTCCAACTCCAAAGTATCCTCCAAATTTTGCGCGTTGAACGCATCCAGGACTTCTCATCTCCATAAACCAAAATTGTTCGTGCTATTAAACTTCTCCACGTCTATCTTCATAGAGTGAATATTCAAACTTTGGACGGTCTTCATGCCAGAGGTATCACCCACAACTCCTTGTTTCTCAGCCATCTTCCTCAAAGCACCAACAAACCAATGTTAAACAAACTGAAAGAAATAGATTCAAATTGCGAGAAAGGTAGCTTTTTACCTCCAACTGAAACTCTAACAAGAGCCTCCAAAATATCTCACTCCCACACAACGGAAGACAAGATCCACAATAATAAAAATCTCACCTTTGTCTCCAATTGAAATTCTAGACGAGCTTCAAAGCGATCTACTCCTCCACCAATCCCCAAGCGTAGCCTAGGCTCTGATACCACTTGTTGTGCTCTGATACCACTTGCTGGGTTCGAGGAAATCCACGCAAACGTCAAGAGAGAAGACCAAACACACTCACAATAATGACACGAATACAAACAAACTAATTTTACGTGGTTCGGCAAGTTGCATACGTCCACGGGGTAAGAAGGGGTTGGGTTTTCACTATTAGAGGGAGTACAAATAGAGATTACAAAATCACTCAAAACCTCACAAATTAATATCTGAAACAAAGCTCTCAAATCTCTCACCAAATCTCCCAAACATACATCTCGGAAATCTCTCAAATTCCTCTTACTAATTTTCTCTTCTAAAACGTTCCATATATATAGAAATCCTAAAACCAAAAATATACTAGGAATTCTAAAACCAAAAATAAAACAAATTAGGAATCCTAATAGCATGTTACCAAAATAGATTAGGAATCATGTTACCAAAACAGATTAGGAATCCCAATAACCTGTTACCAAAACAGATTAGGAATCTTAATAACATGTTATCAAAACAAATTAGGAAACATATTAGGAACCTATTATTCAACAGGGTTATGCACGGGTAAGAAGAGCCCAATAAAAAATATTCCAGTTTATTAGATCCGGGTTTATATTTTGAGCAACCAGAGACCCAATCCGACCCTTCGTCAAACATGATGAACATACTAATTTTTTATCTTCGTTAATGAATTGTTCAATAGATACTTTTCTGACTTCAGGTAACTAGTTTTTGGTGTATATCCCAGTTTAGAAAGGCACTCTTGTGCAATCCAACTTTGCAAACATGCAATATCATATTTGCATAAAGATATTATCAATTGAAAGACCTAAAATAACGAGTACAAGGTACACAATGGGACAAAACTCATGAACTTCTAGCTATAGGAAGAGACTCCTCAATTAGCTCAAATGCACAATACAGAAACTTTACCTTAAGAACAGGCGGGATGTAGTCTAACACCCTCAGGTGAAAAAATCCACAAAACCCCCTAACAACTTTTGCAGTAAACCCCCAACATATTTTGGGTAGATTACACTAAACCCCCAATAACTTTCGAAATGTATTTTTATGTTTTTTTTTTTTGGGTTCTAATTTGTGGTGGTTATCTAAAAAACTTGGAAAGTTACCGGGCGTTTTCTGCAATACCAAAAGGTTGTTGGGGGTTTAATGTGATTTTAAAAGTTTATGGGGGTTTACTGCAAAATGCTAAAAGGTCATATGGTTCAGTGTAATTTACCCTAAAAAATAAAATATATGCTTGCTTGGTTTTGGGCGGGTCAACTAATGGGTGGGCCGGGTGGGTAAATGGCCCGCGCAGCTAAGAAATTGTCCAAGTAACTGCTGAGCTCATCAATCTCCAAGCACCTCGCCGCATGATATTTGTAATCTTCGCCAATCCGACCCTTCGTCCTGTAATTTGATGGAAGTAGTCGTAGGCCAACTGAAACTTAATTTTCGCTTTTACAAATCCCGTTTACAAGGGCATTTTATAAGTTTGGCGAAACATTTTTCTCCGTCATCCTTTGAAACTATAAATAATCCTAAACTATTCTGTTTAAGATATTCTGAAAAAATTAACCATATAAATGTTAAATACAATACAAATAACTTGAAAGAATGCATGTCAGCTATTGCTCAGGGCTTGCGGATATAGCTCAGCTGGTCCTTTGTTATATGAATCAATGACTCGGAAATGGCTTTGCACATCAGCTTCTCTTGAGAGGAACTCTGATGTACCAAGAAATCAAGAAAAGGAGATTTATCAGAAAATGGTTGAAAGGTTAAAGGGAGTCACTAGAAGCTAGAGTCCATAGTAACCGATATAACTTGAGTCTTGATGGCAAATGAAAGGCAGACAGCTAGCTATCATCAGCTCTATGTTTACACTTCCCACAACAACGGAATTATATATGCAAGCAACATGCACTAAACCTCGAGCTCGCAATGGAAGAAAAATAAAGGGCCGAAATTTGAAGAAGGAATGAGCAACATGCACTAAACCTCGAGCTCGCAATGGAAGAAAAATAAAGGGCCGAAATTTGAAGAAGGAATGATTCAGGAAGTAAGTCTTAACTGTTAGATTAGTGCCTGTCAGTTAACATAAAATACAATACATGATTTCGAGTATAAACAATTCAAGCGACATACGACAATCAGTTGTACTACCTTAAACCCTGAAGAGTTGGTGAAGGAACTTGATTGTGATAAGGGAAGTCACAAATTCGAATCCAACCAAACAATGAAAGGAACTCCCTAGCCACTCATGAAGGCTGGGAACTCTCCACTTTATTCATTTATAAAAGGAAAGAGAAGAAGAATAAAACTGGAAAAGAGACTATAGTGCAATCATATATATTTGGGTTAATTGTGGATAGACCCTTTGTATTATCACTCAATTGATATAGAACCCCTGTAACATTGGTCTATTGCACATGGTGCAGATAGACCACTTGAGTGAACTGTTTTTTTCACTCTTGAAGGGTCTATCAGCAATGAACCCTATATTTTAAGGTTTGTATATATTGCAAGTTTGCAACAAGTAGATAACATATTGACTACACATTAAAACTCCTCAACTTGATCCAAGCACCAGAAACAGAGATCCATAATCAACTCGTAGCACATGCATGGAGAAGTTAAAGATCCATAGTCAACTCAAAGCACATGCATTGAGAAGTTGGAAAGCCCTAGGTTGGGGAAAATATCCTACCAAGGGTCCTCCATACAATTGTCAATAGGGAGTAAATAGAGATTGTCGCCCGTCTATTCAGGAACCTTGATGCACAGACCTCCCTCATCTCTCGTGCACCAAGATTCCTGATCCTCTCAAGAAGATATATTCTATAGCTAGACGTCTCTCTATAGGATTTGAGAGGTTTTGGGAGGTCTCCCACCCCCTTCAACTCATTTTCCCAAAAGAATCTTTCCGTACTTTAAATCGATGCAAAAACCTGCAGAAACTGCCAATCATTAACACCACCACCACCACCAATTTTACTTATTCAAACACCTAGTTCTCAAACCATTTGAAACTCTGGAGAAGAACCATTAATGTGAAAATCCAAAGAAAGAGCAAGGAAAAGGATGTTGTTCAAAATATCAGTGATCTTAGTAGTAGTATTCCTGGGATTGGTCTACCAGTTCATTCAGCCTCCAGCACCAGAGCTCTGTGGCTCACCAAACGGTCCTCCCCTCACCTCTCCAAGAATCCAACTAAGAGATGGAAGGCATCTAGCCTACATGGAAACAGGAACTCCCAAAGAGAAAGCAAACTACAGAATCATCATCGTGCATGCCTTCAATGAATGCAAAGAACTGGGAATATTTGCATCTCAGGTAAAAGATATGAAAGATTCTTTTAGACTGGCAAACAGTTTCCATTCCTCCCTTAACTAGTATCCTTGTATGTTTCAGGATTTAGTGGAAAAGTTACAAATCTACTTCTTGTCCTATGACAGACCCGGATATGGTGAGAGCGACCCAAATCCCAGGCGTACTATCAAGACTGATGCCATGGATATTGAGGAACTTGCTGATCAGCTGAAGATCGGGTCAAAGTTCTATGTGTTCGGACCTTCATTAGGAGGCTGCCTGCTCTGGGGTTTCCTAAAGTATATACCACACAGGCACGATTACCAACTGAAGCCCTCCTCCCATCTTCCTTGTCCACAAAAGTCCCCACCCCACGCCAGAAAAACAGGATACTTGCACATAGATCCTATGTAGTACTGCTATTTTGCATTTACTGGTTACCACCCCAGCAGTTTATTATTGCCGACAGACCCCTAGGTTAATCTTTTTAATCTTTTTATCAGTAGTGAATTTCGCAGATATTGTCCCTGGTGGAATTAGTGAGTGCATCTGAGGATATAAAGAGTCAAAAAAAATTACCCCAGGGGGTCTGTCTGCAACACTGAAACTACAGGGGTAGTAAGCGCAAAACTGTAACACTATGGGGAATCTGCACAATTAGCCCCGCAAAAAAAAACTGAATCTGACAAAATTTCATTAAATTGTATGAAATAAACAGTATACATAGGTTACATTGATGCAGATTGGAAGGAGCAGCGCTTATAGGACCTCCCATCAACTTGTGGTGGCCCTCTTTACCAGCCAATTTATCAAGAGAAGCATACCGGAAAAAACTGGTAGAAGATCAGCGTGTGTTGTGGATCGCACACAATGCTCCATCCTTCCTGTATTGGTGGATGACCCAGCAGTGGTTTGCTTCAAGGATTCCTGTCAATAAATTCCCTGAATTACTAAGCAGGCAAGACAAGGAAATATTTCAGAAAAAGTTGACGATGCCAATAATAGCTGAGGTAATAATTCCTTATAACAAATTTCAGATGAAGGTTTGTTAACACAATAAAGGCTAGAGCTCCACCTGATATTCCTCGTCTTCTGAATCTGCCTCATCCAAATTGCATAATAGATACTACTTAAGCCTCTCGACAGCATTTCTGAACCTAATATTGCTTTGCTTGCAGGCCAGTGTTAGCAAAGGGACCAAGACTTTATCGCACACTTAAATTCACCTAAATACCAATATTTATTAAGCCATACACTAAAACACATGCACGTGCGCGCACGTGTGTATGCATAAATATTCCGAATACATTTTTTATGTTTTTAACAAATACTAAATACTAAAAGGTTTGCCTTAAGTGGTAATATTTAGATGTCATATCCTTCTCACTGTTTTAAAAAACCTCCGCGAAGTCCACCTAAGTGTACGCCTAGGTCTAGGCGGTACCTTGACCGCCTAACTAGCGACTAACACCTGAGCGGTACCGAGGCTACCCACCTGGCACCTAAGTTTTGGGAGTGTTTAGGGAATCATTGTCTGCTTACGTGGACTGCACCCTTTAGGCATTGATCGTGATTTTCTGTGTTGCAGCCTTCATATCCTCCAACCTCCTTCAAACTCATTTAACCTCCAAATACAAACACCTCCACTACCTCCTCCGACCTTCAGCAAAACCTCCTCGACCACCACTTAAATGAAGAAAGAAATCCGTCTAGACAACAGTCCGGCATCTAAGCTTTTCATAACATTGACATTTACTATCAATTATTGTAGTTAAAAACTAAAAAAAGAAAATCTCCTAGGCTCTAGGCGTCGGGTCCAACGGTTAGGCTATCTAGCGCTTTTTATAACCATGTTAGTTATTATTTTGGCTATTTAGTATTTAAGTATGCATAGTTTATTGTGGATCTAAGATTGCTATCTTTTTTTTTTGCATATTTATATGAATTTAATACATATTTTTATCAATTATTATAATTAAATAATTTAAAAATTAGTCAAATGCCTAGGCGTCTAGGTGCTGGCTCAAACGCCTAGTCCGCCTAGCACTTTCTGAAACATTGATCTTTCATTTGAATCATTAACAATTTACTGCAGTGACAATTTTCCGATATGCTTTTTATCAAACACAACTAAACAGAAACAAAATAACTAAGCACACAATTTGCCAATATGTGCCACTTTTTGTGATTTGCCCTCAGACCTCAACAAAATTGCAACACAGTGACATGTGGTAAAGACCAAATGAGAGAACATATCAAAGGCATACTGTAGTAAGTGGCTCTATCTGAATAACGTACTCCTAATACACAACAAAAGCATATACTAGTAGAAGTTCTATTTAATAAATACTGCATTACCCATGTGGTAAAGACTGAAATGAGAATACCCATCAAAGGCACCTCTCAGACTTCATGACAGTAGGCTAGCTTTTGGCAAATGGTACTTCGAAAAAGAAAACTCACAGATATCCTCATGTATACGTTATCTGTGTCTAAATTAATTTGCATGCAGTCCATGCATAAACAGCATGCTTCTTTGCTGTCAAATGCTTCCTGACAAACTAATAAAAATTTTCTGTTCAGTGCGAGAAGAAGGCTCAACAACAAGGCATTTTTGAGTCATTGCTTCGAGATGTAATGGTAATCTTTGGAAAGTGGGACTTTGACCCCCTGCATATGAGCAATCCATTCCCTAACAATGAGGGCACTGTCCATCTGTGGCATGGGTCTGAAGATAAGATGGTCCCAGTTCAGCTACAACACTATGTTTCAAAGGCGCTTCCTTGGGTTCGATACCATGAGTATCCTGAAGGAGGACATCTGTTTTTGTTTGTTGACGGTTTCACCGACATTATCCTAAAGGCACTTCTTCTTGGGGAGGAACCCAGATTGATAAAAGAGTAGTCTGGGAAGTCACTTTGTCGTCATGTCATAAGTTTTATATTTTCTAGTCTCTATCTTTTTGGGAACTATTCCTGACATCAGAGGAATTTGAACCAGCACGTGTACCTCTGGAAGAGTAATCATTGCCAGAGAAGTTATGCTCCTTTGATTATTCGTAATAACTATATTGATAGTGTGTGCATAAGTATACATGAATGCACAAATACGCACACCAAAAATGCAATTTCCTAATATCTCCTAAAACCAAAATATTATAAAATGCACTTAAGAAGAATGAGATAGAGTAAAATGGGTTGAAGGTATTCTGGGTAGTAAACCACAATGGTTGAATGAAATTCTGGAAATATATAGCTTTAATTTTCAGTTTTTGACAAATAGATATGGCTTACATAATACAGAAAAAAGAGCAACTAATTCCTATGATTTTAAGATATATCATTCGTATTCACAATTATAATCAAGAAACATCTGCAGTAATCTCAAGAAAAATTTACAGAGAACTGTCAGCTTGATATGAAATCAGAAACCACTTGCCATGGAAACAAGCAAATTCACTTCATGAAGTATAGAAGTAGTGTACCAAGCATAAGCTGATCACTTCGGACCGTCATTAATTTCATCGAGGTTCCTCATCATCATCATGAATAAAGGTGAAAATGGGTCAGGTTAACCTGAATCTGACTCGTAGTCGCCCAATTATTTAACCTCGTAAGCAGGAAAGTTATGCATGGGTAAACAGAGCCTCACTGAAAATTTTCCAGGTTAGGTTCTGTTTAACATTTTGAACAACCAGACCCAAACTAAACACGAAATAGTATTATTTGTTGGTGATATGTTAATAGATACTTCTTGTCATAAACAATTCCATCAAACTTGAAGATACAAACTGTGTAATTTTGTTAATGAATTGCTCAAAAGATATTTTTCTCGCTTCAGTTAATACCTACTTTTTTGCGTATATTCTAATATAAAAAAGGGAATCTAGTGCAACCCAAGTTCGCAAACATGCAACATTATAAATGTATCAAGATATTATCAGCTGAAAGACCTGTAACAACAAATAGAAACTTTGGAACTGAACTCATCAGCTTCTAGCTATAGGAAGAGAATCCTCTTATGGCTTAATGCACAAGAAGTAAAATTTTTAAGCATAAGACGGCAGGAATAGTTACTCTCAGGTTAAAGGATCACAACAGTTTCCCAAAGATAGAAGCTGCACAGTAAATACATACAAGTAGGAATTCTATACCATTAAGAGCACAAAAATAACAATACACTAATATGCACAGTAACTGACAGCAGAAAAAACTTAGGTCTGTTATAAATCAGAGTAGATATGGCTATCTATTCTAGTTGTAACTTACTATATATGCTATCTAAGATGTTTAACAAGGAAACTAAAAAGCAGATTGGTAACCTATTTGACATGTCACAAGTTTGATGATTACTTTTTTAACAAAGGCTATAACACAATGATAACATATTTTGTTCTGAAGAAATATTGGAAAGAGCAACTGAGAAATAGATTCATCTAGCAGACATCAAAGAAATGGGAGATAACTGTTTGTTAAATAAGAAAGCATAAAAAAGGCTAATGCTGGCTTCAGATGGGTGTGCTGTTATCTGACAGTAATTTAATAAACCTCGCATTGTCTACCTTTTAAGATAAGTAGTTAGATATGTTGTACATGTTTGCTAGGTTAAGTTAGAGCAAGGAATGTCTCTTTCCTGTCTGGTTAGGTATATGACCTTTTTTATTTCGCCACTAAGATTTTGTTTCATCGTTATCACCACCCAATAATGTTCACAAATAAATATCAAGTGTCATTCAAATAGATATACAAGATGCTGGCTTAATGATCGACAACAATATGCTAAGTGAAATTTTAGAGTAAGCTTGCACGTGACTGTATCCTTTGATATCACCGAGGAAACCAGTAACCGCTACTGCTACCCAAAAAAAATAAGATAGTAAAAAATTGAATTTTACTGCATTAAATGCAACTCGATGAATCGAAATACAGTTACACGTTTCACATAGCAGCATACACCTTGCATCACCGAGATATGACTGTATGCAATATATAAAAGAATTATTCACCATGCAGAATGGTTGGTAGGTATAGCCAAAATTTACCTCTGACCATACTGCAAATCTCAGCAGCAAGATGCCAACTTATCCTTTTTGCTATCGATCAATTAAAAAAAGAATATGCTATTAGGCTTCCTATATTTCCTTCAGCTGTACTGTTACTAAATTAGGACTCTCCAAGTCAAACCACAACATGGAAAGGAGAAATGCAAGAGAAATGCTGATTGGCCTTGGAACAAGCCATCTCAATATCTTCCAAAGCTAAATAGTTACACACTCTTCTGCATTGCTGACCTAGCTACCGCTGTTATTTGACTTGAGTGAAGTCAACAACATACAAATGTATGCTTACTTGCTTGTCTCTGGCCATTTATAATGCCAGCATCTGAGAAATTTTCCAACTAACTGCTGAGCACATCTTTCTCCAAGCACCTCACAGCATGAAATTCATGGTCTTTGCCAAACTGCTTGAATAGGAGACTGTATGTACAAGAGTCAGGCTGAATGCCTTTCGCATGCATCTCACCATACAACCTCAATGCTTCATTCCAGTTACCTAAAGTGAAGTTCTGATCTATAAGATTAAGTGTATGTATACTCATTTGGGGTAACCCTTTCTCCTGCATTTGAGGGAAGTACTAATAGGCCAACTGGACCCTTCCGCTTTTGCAAAGCCCATTTATAAGGGCATTATAAGTTATTACATCTGGCAAAAAGTTTTCCTCTTAATCCTTCGAATCTATAAATCTGCGCATTCGAAGTCTTTCTTAGTAGCGTGGGCATGAATCAAAACTGTGTAGGTAGCAACCGAAGGAGATATATTCTTGGAAACCATGGTGTTATACAACTTTCTTGCTATTTTCAGATTACCCTCCCTACAATTGGCATGAATTATGCAAGTATAGGTCACACAATCAGGACAATAACCAATCATACACATTCCCCGCCACAACCTATCTGCTTCCTGTAGACCCTCAATCTTGCATAACCCATCAATCAAGACATTATTAGTTATAATATTGGGGGAAATGTCTCTACTTACCATTTCCTCTCGTAGCTGGACAGTCCATGTAGAAGTCCCAAGGCATAGAAGTCCCAAGGCACAAATCAGCACCTATCCTTGCAGTATAGGCACCGCAATCTGGGTCCAAACCCCTTCTCGACATCTCATCAAAATAATTTATCGCCATATCAAGATTTCCCAATTTGCAAAATCCATGTACAAGAGTAGTATTGGTATAAACATCTGGATGAAGCCCAGATACAATCATAGCCTCCTTAACCTTGTGAGCCTCCTCCTACTCTCCCAACCTACAGTATCCGTCTATTAGTATGTTGAATGTTATAGTGGTAGGAGCAATGTGCATCCTTTTCAAGCGAGAAAACGAGCAACGGGCCTCCTTTAAGTTTCCTTGCCGACAATATCCATAAATTAGAGAATTATAAGAGATCACATCGGGTGCCAAGTGCGTCCTCTCCATCTCAAGAAACTGCTCCCTCGCATCATCCAATCTACCACTCCTACACAACGCAAAGATGATAGAATTATATGTTGCAACACTCGGCATAACACCTGTTTCCATCATATCTTCCTTAAATTCCAACGCCCTACAAACAAACCCTCGACTAAACGATTCAACAATCAAAGGGTGTTATTTGATGTAGCCTTCCCCAAACTCTTCAGCTTCTCCAACAACCTCTCTGCTTCATCAAACTCTCCACTCTTAGACAACCCATTAATTACGACATTATAAGTAACATCATCCGGCGAAAACCCTCCTTTATCCTGCTCCATCTACGCAAAACTTTCAGCTAGCCATTTTCCTCTTTCCCTTCTTTACACAAAGCAATCGAAACCGTGTTATATAAAAAGTACTCAGGCCGAACCCTAGCCTTCACCATCTCATTATAAAGCTCTTCCACAACCCACTAGTTTTTGTCTCTCAAATTCTGTAGAATCCGATTGCAATTCTTGATATCGGGCAACGACCCACGCCCACCCATCCGATAAAACGCCACCGCCACCGCGCGCTTAACCACCGAACACTCGGTGTGCAGATGCAACAAAAGAACTTCCCCATCGACCAAAAGGTTGAGGATTTCGTGGAGATTCAAGACCAAGACCCGCTGCGTGACGGGGTGAGCTGCGCTCATGAGATCGCCCGCGGCCAAGATCTCCAGAATGGCGGAGAAGGCGATCTCGGATCGATCGGAGATCAAGGGGAGGAAGTGGGCGCTTGCCGAAGGCTTTGGGACTGGATTGGAGGAGGTCGAGGGTTGGGGATGGTTCGGGTTCGATACTGGGGGCGTAGCTGTAGGGTTTTGAGGAGAACGCGCCTCGGAGATGGCGGCTGACGAGGATGAAGATGAAGCTGTTGGACTTTTGGTTCATGAAAACGCAATTTTGCTTTTGTGAATAGTACCATGGGAAAATGAAAAAAAGGTTTAACAAGTTTATAATGGTTCACATGTTAATGGGTTTTTGAGTTGTAGGCATGAATCAAAACTGTGTAGGCCTGAACGCATTCGAAGCTGTTTGGTTGTATGTTTTTACCATGTAAAAGGATGTACAGTGTAAAAAAGTGGGTCTCAATGTCAGCTTTCATCCAATTGTTTGTTTGTAGTTGTGAAAATAGTGTAAAGTGATTTCATATGCTGATGTGGCTCGTAAAGTAATTTCATGAAAAAAAGACATGATTTTAGGAGAAAGCTAACATTGAAGTTAAAAAATAATAATAAAAAATAATTCCAACCAATATGATCATTTGAGTAGGGACCACTTTTTACACTTTCCAGACAAACAATTAAAGTTTTATTTTGCAAACCAAACAAGTGTTTTATGATTCCAATGGAATCAAAAACAAACAAAGAAAAGTATAAAAGTGAAATTGATGAAGTGGACAACAACTTTTCAAGTTGTGTCATAAATACACAACTTTACCAACAACAACCAAACAGCCCCTTAGACAACAACTTTTCAAGTTGTGTCATAAATACACAACTTTACCAACAACAACCAAACAGCCCCTTAGTGTTTTTGGTCTAGTATTGTTTGGGTTGTTGCTCCGCACGCACGCCACGTCTCGCCACGACTCGCGTGCCATGCCGCACTCGCACGAGTTTTTTGTCTCTTTTATTTTTTTTCACGTTTTACACAAGCTTGTAACGATCGCGGGAGTTATGGAAACGTATAACGGACGCGGGATATACGTGTAACGTGTGTGGACTATCAGCATCGGTTATCAGTTCGAGAGGCTATATAAAGAGCTGAAGCTCATTCGGAGAAGATACAGGGACTATCAGCATCGGTTATCAGTTCGAGAGGCTATATAAAGAGCTGAAGCTCATTCGGAGAAGATACAGAAAACAAGAAGAATCCTCTAATCCTCTCTCATCCTCTAAAAATTTCTCTGATATTATAATTGTTACATTTTTGGGCTACCGTCTTCATCTGAGCAGAAGCTCTGCTACTCGCGCCCGGGTACAAAGGCCGACCGTTTCCGGGAGCTTTTACCGTTAGGGGGAGAGGATTGACTGCGTCAGGGCGAAAGGCGGGTCTTCTATCTTCTAGGGCAGTGAATCACGACTGCATCCGTTCAGGCCTGGTGTTCTAGCTCTTTTATTTTCAGTTTTATAATAATTATTTTAACTTTTGACAGCAATCTAGAAGATAGAAAATAATTTTGCTGTTAATTTAAATCTGTATTTTTTTAACCTATAGTTAACTGTTTTAATTTGTTAACTAATTTTGCATCTAAATTAGTAGTTAAAAAATTTATTTTGCTGTTTCTGTACACAATTTATGTATCTATCACTTTTTATATACATATATATACAATAAAGAAACAAAAATTCTTTAAGTGAACCGGTTCAAGTTTTCTTGGATTAGTTGGTGTCTAAGGCAAGGTTTAAGTGTTGTGTAAAGCGCTCTGCAAGAAACAATGTACTTAATAGATCTTTGATCAACCTCTAGTACTATCCTTACCTGGCCAAACTACGCGAGTAAAATATTAATCTTTTCACTTTCAGAGTTTTTGGTTAAGAGCAGGTTTAATTAAGTTTCTGGTCTAGTAGTATTGACAAAATCCTTTACACGTTCAGATTCCATCTACCTAGACTAGTAAACTTGAATTGGACTTATGGCAATTCTTGATCATTCAAAAGTGTCAAACCTGAGAAGTTCACCGGTGTCAACTATAAACGGTGGGCTAATCAGATGAGATACTGGCTCACTACCTTAGGCCTCTTGTCTGTTATTGACACTCCTGAGTCTTCTACTAGTAGTTCTTAACCTTTGACTCCTGATCCTGAACAGTCTGCTCCTTCCACTTCTGGTTCTGGTGCTAGCTCCTTTTCTAGCTCTATGAAACCTAAAGAAATCAATTATCATTGTTGTCAGGATTCTTAGTGCACTTGCGGATAACCTTTATGACATATATTATGAGTTCAAAAGTGCAAAAGACCTATGGAATGCTATTGAAGCAGAATATGGCTATGATGATGCCGGAATTCTGCGTTTCACCTCCTCCTCCTTCAATAAGTTTATGATGGTTGATGACAAACTCATTAATAAACAAATTCATGAATTCCTAGATTTCCTCCGTCATCTCCAATCAAAAGGAAACATTTTTACTGACGATTATAAAGTTTTCTGTTTGATTAATAAACTCCCTCCCTCCTGGTCTAGATTTGCTGGAGATCTCCGACACAAGTAAGGAGATCTAATCTTAACTGAAGCCCTCAAAGTTATTCGTATTGAAGACCAGCATATGCAAAATTCCAAAACCAAGAATGAATCAAAAGCTAAAGTAAACTTGGTAGAGGATAAGCCTAAATCTAGGAATTTCAAACCCAAAGGGAAGAAATTCAAGAAAAACCAATAATCTTTCAACAAATCTTCCTTCAAATCAAATCCTAATTCTTCCAGTCATAAGTCTGATGGAAAATTCTGCTTTGTCTGTGGTAGAACCAACCACATGGCTCCCAACTGTTTCTTTCGGAAGAAAGAACCGGCTAAACCTACTCCTAAAGGAAATGGATTCAACAAAGCTAATATGATTGAAGAGAATCCAACCTCCTTCAGGTTAGCCTCCTCATCTCATCTTGTAAATTTTTTAACTTCTTCCACTGATTGGTATTTGGATTCCGGAGCAAATATCCACGTCTG